AGCACTTGAGATGCCCATCGCACTTGTCGCCAATTGAAATCGACAATGAGCCAGCAACCAACAGCACTGAGCACGTGCGCACACCAAGCAAGAGAAATCAATTTTCCAACATACTAGTCAATTTGATTACCGATTTTGATCTATTTCCGACTGAGCGAAGTCTCTGTTATTTGAAGTCCGATCTTACCTTAATTCACTCAAACAATCAATACCCTTAATATAAATGCTGTAGGCATTGCCTGTATATTACTCATGCAAATGACCAAGGATATTGACGCAGCCATTGCTGGCATAACACCACATCCACAGCAGCACACTGCAAGGTGCAGACACATGATAATTAAATTTACCAGCAAAGAAAACAAGAAATTCATATTACGATAATCTTCCTTTATCTACTAAATATACTTTTAAATTCAATGAAAGTAGTATTGTATAAACTGTTTACAAATTTCAACTAACTGTGCATTGTTAGTCCTATTTTTAGTATCTTAAATGTATTTGCTAATATTGTAGATCAATACACATTAAAATATTCCATCGCTATTCAGTTCGAATATAGTATGAGTTGCAACAAACAATTCAGATCTTATAAAAAATACAGTATTAATCACCAATTGATAATGACTTTAAAAACTAGGTCATTATGTAAGTTAGTATTATCCTAGTTCTAAGGTTTAAATGCGGCATGATCAAACATTAATACTAAACTATGCTAAGTAAAACACTTAGCAAAAAGGTAAACAATGATGATGACGACGATGATCTGAATGTTAACTATCAGAACGATGATCTAAGAGAGTCCCAAAATTATAGTGAAGAAAAGCGGGTGAAAAAATTTCCATCACTCAACCAATATAGGACTACAGTAATAACAAAGAAATTAAAAATTTATTTTGAATGGAAATATTTTTCTACAAACATCTTGGGACAAATTAAAAAATATGTTAATATTCTAGTATAAATTCCAATAGAAAAAAAAAAGCAACTAACATGTTATGCAAGTACACAACTGTTTCTTCCACTTGGTTTAATACTAATAGTGCGTGTAGGAATGGCATCACTGTACATTTTATGGTATCAATTATTATTTAAAATTTACTCATTACAATTGGAAAGTCTAAGCTTGGCTATTAGACAATCCACAGACTTATTAAAATCTTATCAAACCAAAATGTCAATTTTGATGGCCTGTCTCATTGTTGTGTATGCTAAAATATTACTAATGAATGAATCAATTATAAAAAAAACACCAATTATTCTAATATTATGGTAATACAAAATGTTATGAATCAGAAAAAACTAATTCATTTAAGATTGAATTAATCACAGAAGAAATGTATGAATACTGAATAGTAGTACTGAGCAGTTAACACAGTCGGCTAAACTGGTGGTACTGGTAGCAACCTTGGAGATCACTTGGTTCCCGGTTCAATCCCCACTGTTGCTCTCCTTGTGTTTCAGATGGAGGGCTGAAATGTAAGTTTCAAGAGTCTTCAGATGAGAGGTTTAAGCTGTTGGTCCTGTGTGCATTATGACCACATTAAAGAAAGCATACGCTCCTCGGAAAAGAGTAGGTCTGCCTGCAGTGTACTGCCCAATTGACATGTCGACAAGGACGAGAAGCCCCACCCACAAAGTCACGAAAACCTTAGACAATGGCGGCTAGACTTACCGAGTTGGCGAAGATTTTCTTTGCTATCAACCTTCTTAAGAAAGAGAATTCAGGGTAGGCGGTATGCAAATGAATCATATTTATAGTGTTAATCTATTTCATGGAACATGGCAGGGAAATTGTTATAAAGCCTCTGTATTTCGCTCCTAAAGGAAGAGGGAAAAGCCGCATTCAGTCAACCTTGTTGTCGGCAAAGGCCAAGCCACTGATGCGAACTGCTCATGTAAATCAGGGTATCTATAACCAAGCATAGACATCTAGGCCTAGGCTCGCGTATGTTTCACGTACCAGCTGTCTAACGAAATTAAAATGTCTGAGAAAAAGTTTTTGATCACGCGACTAAGTGACGCTCGTTGATTAGTCAGTTTATCTATCAATCAAACTCGTCGAGATGTTAATTCACCACCAGAAGCACCCCCTTTGGAAACAAGTCTTACTGTAGGACATTTGTGGGATATCTTTAGTGTGTACAACACCGAAGAAACTATATCCATAGGTGATAGTAAGGGAGACTTTATTCCTTGTTTCACATACTTAGACTATCAAATGAGGGCGGAATAAAAACAAAATTTTGTTTTCTTATTTAGCAAATAGTTTTGCCAAAATCATCCAGACTGAGGAGAAAATAAAAGTAAAATTTTATTGGTGAATGTAAGTAAAATAGGATGGTTGAATGCTTCAAATTTTTATAATTAGGAAGAAATATACATCTTATATTTGGAAATTTCAAGGCAGCGGAGGGTATAATAAAAATGAAAACCTTTTATTTTTTTCTGAAATTTCCACTTTATTCGAAATCATCAATATTTGCAGTGGGCGGCTTTGCTAAACAAGGTATAAAAAAAAGTCTCGCCTAACCTGATTAAGCATCCATTACTGAAGCTTTAGCATGGCCTACTTGATAAAAGTAGGTATCCCACTATTGTAAACAGTGACTTCCCCTGTTAAGAAGGATTACTGAAAATGCCTTAACAATAAACGTAAAATAAGACATTATGTAATCACCTCCAAGAATAGAAGACAGAATAAACCAGGACTTATACTCTCTCTGCAAATTGATTATACCAAGTTAAGCTGCCATCATCATAACAATCAAGAATGTGAGTAGTATGGCACTAATCTTCTGGGAATTTTCTTTCTAGGGACTGCTTTAAAGCTATTGATCTACCTGGTGATACCTGGAAGTGGGATGATTACACATGGTCACTGAAAAGGGAGTGGCAAGAAAATTGCATATATTTTATACTTAGAGAAGTAGTTAAATTGTAAATAATAGGTTTTCACTAAAAGTTGTTTACTTTTTAATTAATAATTAAAAAATAATTTTAACATTTAATTTATTAAGCACTCTTCCATAAATGGTCTCACACTGCTATAATAAGAGAAAAGAGAATTTTTGTTTTGAGGGCAGTTTAAATTGTTGCAATGTCTGAGATTCATGAGGTAGTTCGTTCCATAGGAATGGTGCAGTGGCATAGAAAGAAGTGGAATTGGCCAGAATCAGAAGATGAACGAGGACGACTAAGCTGACAAATACAAAAATATGTTGCAATTAAATAAACAGCAAGAATACATAATCAACCAAACATTAATTTTATATATCTGAATAAAAACTATAAAAAAAATTCACAGAATATAAATAGCATGTTTACAGTATGTCTGAAGTGTGCATTTCACTATAGACCATATTAATAATATTCTTTTAGTTTGAAGCCAACGATTCCATCAAAAGCACAAGAAGACCGAATATTACTGCACTGCAAAGATAAATCACATTAGAGACAATTTTACAATAAGCCAATTAACTGTGGAAGCAATTTAATATATTTACTGTTATGTACGACAAAACAAGGTTGCCTAAATATAGGTCACTTTGCATTAAAATATCATTCATTCAATTAATGAAATTTTTGTTTCAAGCAGAACATTATATATTTATATATTCAGCTATATTAAATCTGAAATCATATCATAAGGACTACTCTGATGCAGCCATTTTTTATCAATTTAATATTTGCTGATTGATTGATTTACAATGGCAAAAGGTGAACATTAAAAATGTTATTGGTAACTAACAAACTAAATTAACATTATCGGGAATAATTTTAAGGCTTTCAACAAAAAATAATATTGGTATTTTAATTCTTTTTTTAATGCCAGCTTCTTAGAAATATTTCTGCAATTCAGCTTCGGCTGACAATGAAAGCTTTTGTATGTTTGAAATAAAGATGATGTTTACGTTTGTAAAAAAACACTTTAAACTTAAATATTAGATAATATTGTAAATTTTGATAATTAAATAAAACAATGCATTAGTACTGTCAACTATTACAAATTCAACACAATGTTTACAGTGGAATAGTAATTTCTGTTTTAATACTAAATGACATATTGTACTAACCAATGACAGTCAGAATTTCTTATTATTTTTGCATATTGTCAATGAGGTACATTTACCACATCAGTGAGGACTATTTAAAATGGCAACTCAACTTCATCAACCTAGCAATCATCATGAACAATAATATCATTGCAAGCAGTGTAATTGCCTTCGTAATGATGCAGATCGACTATAATGTCATACTTGTTACAATGGTTGCTTCAACAAATCAAATTCAAACAGTAAATAAAGTATTTTACTCAGATTTTAAATATGGCAAAAAAAATGTAAACTATCAATATATGATTTTAATCATCAATCTTAAGAGAGTAATATTATTAATAAAGTTCTTTTAAATTATTATTTGATCATCCCTGTAAGGGGTAGTTTATTCTTCTAGGATGAAAACTGAAACTCATTTTCATATTTCTATCATCATACTTAGGCCGCATAGGCCCCCATACTGTCAATAGGAAAAATAAATACAGTGTGGTATGCTAAGAATGTTGCTAAAAAGTTCTGAAAAATTGGCTGTTATGAAAGGTCAGCAAATCACTACAGGGTGTCTATTGGAAAGTCAAATGTCATACGATTAACTTAAGAATTTATTATCGAATGGAGTGTATAAACACAAAAAATCAATGTGAATGTATTTTATATCGTCTAACACCATTGATAGTTGTCTTGAATCACCGTGTGGTAACTTCCTGTTTTAAACCTGTCGTTTGCTAAGCAGTAAAACGAAAGTCGAAAAGCCAACAATAATTTCAATTTATTTTACAATCTTTTCTTAAAATGCTAGCTGTCAAATGTCAGGAGTAATGATCAACATTATCTCTAAAAAACACTATACCAGTGTTGGTCATAGCTAACTTCCTATGAAACTTTACCTAGCTAGGCCTAGCCTAGGCCTAAAATGAACACAAACTTCTAAATACTGCCTACCTTCGTCGATTAGTCTTGAGGCGTGAATAAACATATTTGGAAAGAGCTCGAACGACGATCTGTCTTTATATAACTGTGCCAAATATTCGGGTGTTGAGGGTAGATTTAACTTTGTTTCTGTTTCGTCTGGTGTCTTAGGTGTAGTATTAATCATATTCGGTTGCTGTACTGTTAAAACTTTTGGAAGTTCGCAGACGGGCGGCTGCTGCGGCGGGACAGGCATCATAGGCATCTGCATGGTCGTCATTTTGTTCGAATCACTATCGTCCAGTACGACGTACCGATGATATGCCTTCTAGATCCAGTTGAGACAACTTGTTTACTTGGCGACAATTGCGCTTGCGCGAGTCTTACCATTCCCACTGTAGTGAGAAATTATTTTACTTTATTATATTAACTTAATCAAATACAGGTATTATAAACAAATTAACCAACTATATATTTCAAAATAAGTTGCCTAATTTTAAAATTAAATAGTAACGTATTAAATAAATAAATAAATGTTATAAATGTCTCTAAGCAAAATAATATACAAATTTATTTTACCCAAATTACATATGGTATAGTCTAAAAGAAATTCTTTGAGGCTGATAAAGTGTTCATTGGAATGTTTATAAGTACTTGTTCATAGATAATTTGAATAGTCGTTATTGTGTGTGCTAACACGATTTGTGGCCAGTGTTGTGTTTATGCTTCACCCATAGTGCAGTGATGACCGAAAATAAACCCAACATAGGTGACAGGATTATTACAAACATCAACTAATCTATATTCGTTACGGTGTAGATAAGGTCTACGCCTACTTCAACCATAAACATGGAGCTATATAAAAATAGATAAATAAGTGTATAGATTACAGTAATAGTTCGGAAATGCTGAGAGTATCGTCTTGGAATCACATGAGCGTATACACCGGTATGCTGAATTACAACAGTTAAAGTACATTTTAAAAACACAAAAAGGCTAAGACCTAAATAATAAGAGTCCGGTAGTTTATTTACCAACTTAGAGAATGATATTGATACTAGGCCTATATGCCTTAATCATCCATAACTTGTTTGCACTATTATGAAATTCGCTCCGAAAATGGAACTCTCTTTCACCTAAACTTCTATCAACTTACTGATGCATTCAAAAACTTCTCTCTTTAATTAATAATTCTTATACTTTAAGCGCTATAGTGACAAATAATATTTTCTAATACTAGGCCCTACAGGCGATACACATTTTCCATTTTATTATTTATTATTATATTGTTGAATTTTCAAGTATACCTCCATTTAGAGTCCTTCGTATTTCTGCTATGATTTATATAAAAATTAACTATAAATACCATACAGTACACGGTTAAAAACATTTTAATGAGGAAGAAACAAGCAAGTATTAAATGCATTGTAGGGGCCTAGCGCCTATTTTGGCCGCGACACGAAAATCTTACATGACATCTAAGACGGTTATAGACTGTAATGTTATGTCGGCTAGCAATACTTTTGTATTCAATCGATAACAAAATGTCTTGACATAAACTTAATGTTTTTAACGTTCAAACTTCAATTATGATATAAATTATTTTGCTATCAGCATGAAAACAAGTAACACCGACAAGCACAAGTCTAACCGTAAAAAGAAACGCCAACTATAGAGGGCGGCAAACACAATTTTATTCGACTCGCAATAATCCATAATCAGATTTCTTTATTGTCGCACACAGGTAAAAAATTAAGTCACTTGTAATTATGACTTAGTTATTAAACCGATACAGAGGGTTCTTTACATTGTTTTAGATTTTTAAAATGTATGTATTTTTTTAGCAATTTTATTTTTTCTTTAATCTACGTTTTAGCGTTTTACCCTTTAATGTTTATGCATGTTGTGCCTTCTGTTCATTTTTTACTATTTTTTTCATTTTTAATTATCAAAGAAAGGTAAATACAGTGTTCGAATAAAGGACATAATAATACATCGTGTAGCATAGCTCTCAATGAATGTTAGTCTATAAATAAATAAATAAATAAAAATAAATAAATAAATAATATATATATA